GGTGGCGGGGGAGTGGTGGTGTGGTTGTGTTCGTGGTACGGTCCCCAAGTCATGCGCCACTATCATTGTCAATGCCATATTATTGGTGATTACTACTAGAGACTAAAAGCTTGGAAAATATCAAATCTATGTTGTGCTTTCTAGTGCAACATATTGTGGACCCATGCTGATTTCATATAGTCTAGTCAAATGAACTAGCAAGTAAGGTTTTTCTCAGGATATAATGTTATTTGTAGTCTTAATAGTTCACATTTCATTGGCAACTATGATATCAAAATAAGAAAAGGACCAACATGGTCTCTATACTATTTGCAGGGAACTTAAAAATCTCAAATAATACGAAAGGCCAATTCAGTCCTCAAACTATTTAATAGGAAGCAAAATGATCTCCCAGCGAGACTATTGTAGTCCAAATTTAAAGAGGATTATGACTATTTTCTATTTTAGTCCACATTTAAAAAGGCTTAGGGCTATTTAGGTTAGCATTTTAATAATTTGGGGAATAACTTGGCCTTTTTACACTGTTTAAGACCAATACTCGGGGGACCATTTTAATTCATTTCTCATAATTGTTACAACAACGAATTGAAAGAAAAACCTCATTGAACAGAAAGGGAAAGCTTCCAAAGACCAGAAATGCATTCACCAGAAAAAAAAAAAAAAAAAAAAAAACCAACAAGGGTACGAGGGTTGGTACTTGCCCATTATTCCAAGAGGACTCACAGCAAACTTCTGCAAAAGCTATCAAACTTGGATCAGCTGAAAAGGTGCCTACCAATTGACCAACTTTATTAGAGCCTGGCTTGCATTCATCCCTGAATCTACTGGAAGAATTGTTTAAGCTTGGTTTATCAAAGACCTAAAATCAGGAAAAAAAAGAAGAAGACAATTTCTGTATTATAGCACGTTCAAGAATAGAGAAATAAAAACAAGTAGACCAACCTTGTGCATTGCCCGAGAGAGCAGAGACTGGCATCCAATCGGATCATCCACATATGAACAAAATCCAACCTTTCGTTTCACATAAAGGAGGCCACCATTAAGAGGATAACTCTTCACTGCATAATTCAGCCAACTTTTACCTTTTGTAGAAAACAATAAATAAATATATTAGCCGTGACTCGAACATTTTTATATGGATATGTAAGTAGAATTTCTATTCAAATACCTTCATGCAGAAAATCTATCACTTGAGGCCAATATCTTGGCCCACAAACTCGAACGTTCTTCAGCTGGAAAAAAAAAATGAATTACCCATTTAAGCATGCTTCATACAGGTCGTTTAATTGGTGGGAAAGAACAAAAGCCTTTCTTCCATTTAAGGGTGATTAAATCATTCTATTCCATAGAAGAATAGAATCCCTAAATAGAAACAAAATCCAGTTTCTCTTTCTAGAAACTTTAGTGGTTTTGATGTTCTCTCTACTGCTGCTTCTTTAATTCTTTTATCATTACTACTAATATCATTTTCGTGATTGTCTTTGTTGTCATTGTTACATTTCAACTATGCCCTAAAAATGTGATGACTCCTATGGAGCCTCTGCTATTGTTATTATTGACCGACATTTCATCTCAGAAAAGTTCAAAAATAAAATTGTTCAGCTCAATTATGTTCCTACATGACTTCAGACCACTCATTTTCTCACTACATATGATCAATCGTGATGAATTGAAGTCAAAGCTTACTTTTTTACAATATATATAACCCAACTTGAGGAAGACTATTGGAAAGTGGCAATTCGCATTAGGAATGAACTTATTTTCTATCGTCAGAATATATTTCACAAATTGTGTTCCCTTTATTAGATATTTCTTTTTAAAGCCATTTTCTTATTTTGGAGGGATTCTTAATTGGCTTCATTTCATTATTATAAATATGTAGCAAGGTGAAGGCAAGCGGGAAATAAAATTCTTTCCAGAATTTCTGCATGGTACCAGAGACACAAGCTGCTATCGCCTCTTGCTCAAAGCCACTGTTGTCTCCTGCACGAAGCCACTGTCATCTCTTGCTCAAAGAGAAGGCACTCATATGCAGACACACGACCGTTGTCGTCTCATTCTTGAAGGTGAGAGAGTTTTGAGCAGCAACCTTCACAAGTATTGTCTATTCAAATGGAACCCTCTTCCAGTTCGAAAAAATCGCCCGCCTCTTTCATTCAAACGGATCGTAGAACCATTTGATAGAACGCTCCGTCTGAACGTCCCATTAAGTTCATTGACTGCAACCTCTCGTGAATCATCCTCTCTTCTTTCTTCTTGGATTCGAGGGGTCGATTGAAATAGAATATTCTTCTTTGCCTAGCTGCCATCTCATATGTAGCGGACCCGACCACCATTCACTGAGCTCTGAACGCGTCAAAACCGAGAGTTGTGCACCATTATCTAGTTTTTGTTCACTCATCCAGCCAAGCAGTATAAAAAAGAGTCCTTGACCAACGAAAATATAGTTGTGTAAAATTTATAAAGTTGACTCCACTTTATAACAGTGCAAAAAACTTGATGTGATATTTTATGAATAATAACATTAAACGCTTAATGTTGGTATTCTACGCAAGTATACGTATCGTTATCAAGTAATATAAGACTTTCTATTTAAGTCCCACATATCGATCCCACGAGAAAGATTTAAATTTGAAATGATAAATTAACTAGGAAATTCACAGAAATAAAAAGAAATTACTGTCACTAATTTCGAATGTTTAAAATACTATCAATGCTAAATAATTTGACTACTAGCAGAATTTAAATGCAGAGTTCAAAATAGTAACTACTAAACTATGTTTATGTGATGAAGTTTTCTAATATGAAAAAACATCTTTCCCACTACAATGAGCTTTTTGGTGAAATTAGATGAGATAAATGATTTAAATTTGTATTGGGTCAAATATGAGCAATTTTAATTCTCTACCCTGATTCAGTGTTATAGAAAATTATTGGCTAATCTTATGTTTAATCCTTAAATTCGTTGTTAGGCTAGGAGGATACTAACTCCCACTCCAGATCTTCTACTTCCCTTCCCCTGAAGGTTAACTCTCGCTTTAGTTTTTAAACACTAAGATCGAATTGAAGATTTTTAGTCTGTCACCTCAGAAATATCCAATTCTACACCCAACAAAATATATTTTTCTATTTATTTGCACTTAATTCCATGAATGAAATACTTCTTCATAGACTTAAATGTGATTCTCTCTGTTGTATAACTCATACTCCATTTCTCGGATCATATGTTTCACAACATATTTTAACAATTTAATTGATCAGATCGAAAAGTAAAAAAGAGCGGAGTTGAAAAACCATCACAATTTATTTTATATTTTAACATTGACACATTTAAATTATCTCTTCATTTCACCATGTCTCAGAGTAGGGAGAAAGATAAAGGAAACTACTCAGACTTCATGAGAAAGTTCATACAACAATAATAAACAAACAACACTTATATGAAGCTCTTTCTCAAAACAAATCCCTTGTAGTCTCTCTTAAAAAATATAGAAAGAAGAAATCTTTCACTTCTCTTCCTCTCCAACACTTCTTAGAGAAGAATTCACACTTAAACTCACCACAAAAACTCAAAACTATAAAAAAAATAACTAACTAAAGGTGTGGAATAGAGTGGAATGATGTAAAGTGGCAAGAAGAGATGCGAAGGGGTGATGGATGGCTGAGAGGGGCGATGGAGGAGAAGGAAATGAAGGAAGGGCCCTTTTCTGATCAATTTCAGCTATAAATAGAGCCTGAGGCCGGTTCTCCAATAGGTGCATCCAAAAACTCTTCAAAAAGCGTCCAAATTCGTCGAATCATCTAGAAACAGGGCCCGCACCGACATATATGAGAACCCGTGTCAAACGGCGCCGTATATGTCGGTCTTCGCCCCTCTTGGTTCGTCTTCTCTGCCAAATTCGTCGAATTCTTTCACATGATATTTTAACACTCACACTTGGTTGGCTGCAACTAGACATATATGAGGTTGCTTCCTGGAAATGCCCTAATAAATTTGCCTTGTATAGAAAAATCATTGAACAAAAGAAGACCATCAAATTCCTTCTTGAACTCAATAAAGACATAGATGAAGTCAATGAAGAATCATGAAAATTAAAACCTTTCTTACCATTTAGGAGACATTTACAACAGTTTTAAAGAAGGAAAGCAGAAAGAAGTTAATAATGACAAACAATCCTATCCCATCGTCTGTTGAAGGGTTAGCCGTGTACACGTAGAACTCTTCTCAAAATAATAAGTCCAAGAAAGGGAGACCATAGTGCGATTTTTGTAAGAAACTTGATCATGTGAAAGAAACATGTTAGAAATTACGTGGAAACCCTACAAATTGAAATCCATCAAATGGAAGACATGATAGGGAAATGCAAATACTACTGTCAGAGTTCAGTCCACTCATTGTCGAGCGAATTGAAGCATCACAGAAAATGTTAGGTCATGATTACAAATCTGGGCAAGCACCACAACCCTCTATTGAGAAACCGACCATTTTGTTGGCACAATAAGGTATCTTACCCGATGCTCTTATTGTTCAAAGTAATAAATTAAAATCTTGGATAGTTAGCTCATCTTCAAAAATTACAACTCATGCACCAGTCACCTTGCAATTCGAACAATTGACAGTTCACTCTATCAAGTAGCAAAAATTGAATCAACAGAATTGACAAAGGATCTTCACATCTACTATGGTCTTTATATTCCAAAATTAGATTACAACCTACTCTCAATCAACAAACATACTCGTGACTTAAAATATGCTAGTAAATTTTATTCCAATTTTTATGATTTTCAAGTAGTGGATTCGAGGAAGATTATTAATAGTGCTAAGAAGCATGGTGGTCATGTTTGCTAAAAAATTAATCACACGGTACACAAGTTCATCTGTCAAGCTGCACTTCTGAGTCTAGTTCAAAATCTGTTCATCTAGTTTATAATTCCAAGTTTGCTTTAGTTGAAAATCTAAGTCATGTTAAGACATTGTTGCCTTGGTCATCCAAATTTTGTTTGTATTGAAAAAATGTTTCCTCATCTGTTGATCAATAAAAAATCTACTTTCTATCAATGTAAAACATGTCAACTTGCGAAACTTAGTAGACATATATTCAAAACTACAATACAAGCCCTCAAATCCTGTTGTTGTAATTCACAATGATATTTGGGGACTCTCCTAAGTTAAAAATATAAATGGGACACGATACTTTCTATTTTTTATAGATGATCATGCTAGAACGACTAGAACATTCCTTATGAAAGATAAATCTAAAATCACTAATATATTTCAATCCTTTCACTAGAACAATTCCAAAGCTAAATTTAAGTTCATAAAACAGATAAAGCTAAAGAATATTTTAATTTCATACTTGTTCCTTATATTTCCAAGCATGGTATTATTCATATAAGTTCTTGTGTTGATAATCGTCAACAAAATATGGTCGCTGAGAGGAAAACAAACATTTACTTGAATTGACCCATGCCATTATGATCTTTAATCATGTGCCTAAACACTTTTGGGGGAAGCCAAACTCACAACCACATATCTTATCAATAAAATGCCTAGTCGTGTCCTAAAATTTCAAATTCCTTGTAATATTCTCATGGAATTCTATCATATCCACTCCTTTTTTGGCTTACCTTCGAAAGTTTTCGATTGTTCACATCCACCAACAACACCACATCAAACTTGATCCCAAATCTCTCAAGTGTATTTTCTTTGGTTACAACTCCAACCAAAAAGGATGTTATCTTTTTTAAACTAGTAAAATATATAACTCCATTGATGTCACCTTTTTTGAGAATCAATCTTACTTTTCTAAATCTGAAATTCAGGAGGAGAATTTGAGGGAATATCAAAATTGAGCCTTTTTTAAGACACTCAATCTAAATGAAATCCAACCAATTAAACAACCAAACCAAATCTCACCACTCATCCAGCTCCACTTGAAGAACCAAAGTCTATTACTAAAGCTGCCCCAATTGTCTCTACACCACCTCGACTTGACACTAGTGATCAGGAACTTTGTGTCTATACCAGAAAAAAAAGAGCACTGAGCACGTAGAGGACACCATGCAGATCAGGAGTTGTGAAGAACCTGAACCAAGTCCTCCTACATTTGATATCATAATGGTATGCATTTCTTATCTAATGATCGAAAGTGCACTAATCATCTAATTGAAAGATATGTAGCTCATGAGAAATTGTTACCATTTTATTAAATTTTATAAAAAATATTTATAGTGTGCATATTCCCAACTGTATTCAGGAGGCAAAAAAATGTTCCATTCATGGAAACAAGCTACTGAAGAAGACATTCGAGCTTTAGAACATAATAACTTATGGACACTTGTATAGTTGCCTATTGGGAAAAAATCGTGTAGGTTGCAAATGGATATTCATGGTCAAGTACAAAGGAGATGAAAGGGTGGAGTGATTCAAAGTCAGATTGGTAACCAAGGCTTCACTCGTCATATGAGATTGACTCGCAGAAAACCTTTGCGCCTGCTGCCAAGCTTGATATTGTTCGGGTTCTACACTCTCTTGCAATAAATAAAGATTAGCCTTCTTGAATGAGGAACTTGATGCAGAAGTTTACGTGACCAACAGTAAAAAATGCTTTCTTGAATGGGGAACTCGATGCAGAAGTTTCATGACCATACCTCTAAGTTTAAAAATAAATTGAACAATAGGTTGGGTCAATCACCTCGTAACTTAATTTAACAAGTTTGCTAAGACTGTGATTACAAACGAATATCCTCAATGGCAAACTAATCATATGATGTTTGTTAAATCAAATATTAAAGGCAAAATTGCAATTCTCATAGTATATGTAGATGATATTATTTTGACAAGTGATGATTCAGAGGAAATTAACATACTAAAAAAGGTGCTTGCAATAAAATTTAAGATCAAGGATCTCCATAATCTCCAAATTTTCTGGGAATAGGGGTGGCTCGGTCTAAGGATGGAATTGTCATATCCCAAAGAAAATACATCTTAGACCTGTTAAGTGAAATTGGTATTCTTGAGTGTAAACTTGCTAACTCACTCATGAATTCCAACAAAAGGCTGAAAATAAGTGAAAAAAATAGTTCAGTTGACAAAAGAAAGATATCAAAGACTCATGCACAAACTACTTTACCTATCACACAAAAGACCTAATACTGCATACTCAATCAGGGTAGTGAGCCAACACATATATAATCTAAATGAGGATCATTTGGACACGGTGAACACAATGCTGAGATATTTGAAGATGACAGATGGATAAGATTTACTCTTCAAAAGATCTAAGAACAGCGAGATTAAGAAATGCACAAATACTAGCTGGGTTGGAGAGATAACTGATAGAAAATAAATCACTGGTTATTATTCAAATGTTTAGGGTGATCTCTTCAATTGGAGAAGTAAAAAGTAAGCTGTTATCTCTCAAAGCAGTGCATAATCTAAATATCGTGCTCTTGCACCAGGAATATGTAAGGGAATGTGGACTCAAACACTATCAAGAAAACTTAAGGTTGAAATAAAAGATACAATTAAAATGTTCAATGATAGCCAAACAACCATTAGTATAATAAAAAATCATATGCATCATGATAAAACAAAACACAGAAATCGACCAAGATTTCATCTCAAACAATATTAATAATGAAATTGTTCAACTCAACTATGTTTTTATACAACTTCAGACTCTGATCTTCTCACCAAAGCGTTACCAAGAGTCAATTATGATGAATAGAAGTTCAGTTTAGTTTGTAAAATATATACAACCAAATTTGAGGAGTGTTGAAAAGTGTCAATCTACATTAGGAAGGAACTTATTTCCTTTCCTCAAAATATATTTCATTAATTGTTTTTCATTTGCATTTAATGAACATTTTATCAAATTCAAGTCTGGTTTATTTATGCTTCTCTCTCTCTCTCTTCATGCTTCCTATTCTGACGCCTATTAAATAACACCTCCCGATTCTTTCTCTTCAAATCTCCTACCCATTTCTCTCTAACAAACAAATAAACTCCCTAATTGCTTCTCTTATTTGTTATACCCCTCCATCTCTCCATCTACTCAAATAACAAACATAATCGAATCCACGCCTTTCTTATTTGGCCACATTTTCACTATTCTCAAACCTATCCAGTCTCTATCAATCACTCTCTCCACCTAACCATCTTGTCTCTTTAAAAGCATCAAGTTCTATTTCTTTTTGATTCTTAAGATAACCATCCCTTTCTTTACCCCTAATACAACAGAAACGGATTCTAATTTGAGTGTGATTTTCTATGCATCTCACTTCCATTCCAGCTATTGTGCCGTACGAAGCATGGATAAGGGATACGGCATGACACAAACACAGACACTGCCATGATAAAATTGCAAAAAACAGAATACAATACTATGAATATATTGTTTTATTTAATAAATTATTAATATAAATATATAATTTTCTGCTATTCTATTATCAAGACACCACATGATAAAATATAATATCATAAATAAATTTTCTTATGATGAAGAATAATAAAACACAGATAATAATAATAAATTTATCAAAAAAGCATTCATCCATGTCCTATTATATATCGGCCATATCCTTGCTGTATCGCTGTGCCTGCATCACATAGGAGCCAAATTTATAATTACAAAAATCTTGACACAATTTGTGGTGTGTAAGAGACGTGTAAGTCCGTGTCGGGGTCACGTCTGTATCTTACATGCATCCAACACAGATACAAAAGCCATTTAGAAGTCTTCATGCTACATAGATTGTGCCTCATAGGTTGTGCCGCTAAGACTACATACATCAACTCCTCAAGAACCCCATTTTGACAGAAAGTCCCATACAATCTGTCTTTTTTCAATCAATTAGTTTATTATTATCGTTTCTAATACTACTATTAATTCAATAATATTTACACCACCATTATACTTTTAGTTGTTTGTGTCAATACAGCAAATTGTTAAATGGGTTCAGAAAATTATGAATGAAAGTGTTTCTTTTCAGTGGTGCTAATAGTAGGAAGCTTTAAGAGAAAATAAAGAACGGGTTAAAGTTAGCCATGAGAATCGGCAGCAACATACCGTTGATCTCTCAGGAAGAATACAAGGCGTTACTTCACTATAGCTAGTCTCTGAAAACTGATCAGTTTCTAGGACAGTCACCTCAAGAGAACTATAAACAGGCAAACCAGTGTCAACATCTACAGTTTGCAACCAGCGAGACTCCGCAGCAATGACATACAGATGCCTGAATGCCTTAAATAGCCACCACCAAGAAGTTAAATACAAAAAAAAAAATAGGGACATTTACATACATACCACTACATTCCTATATATTTACATATCTACATCTAAACTTTATTTCTCACATTTATACCACCTAAATCTGTCATATCACATAAAAAATACCACCATTAAGTTTAAAAGGATGAAATACACTTTTCCATGCATAGGTAATGTAAAAATTGAAGTTTAGAAGCAAGATAGGTAAATATATAAGAATCTTCAAAAAAAAATTTATTTTTCTACAGTTAAAAAAACAGACCTGCAGATGGCAACGGTTGTCATTTGGTCCGGTAGGCAGACGTGGATAGAGAGCTATAAGCAAAGCAGCAACAGCGCTGTCTCTGGTTGAAAAGGTTCGCACGCCTCCTCCAAGAAACAAGAATCCAATTGCCAAACTTATCTACATAGTTGATAAAGCATTGGAGTAGAAAATTAATATTGTTTTACAAACACATGTCAGCAAACTTAGTGAAGCCATTGCACAGGCCAACAAGTTATAACTTAAATAAAAGGAAAAGAAATCCTGCTTGAGCAGCACTCAAAGAACAAACTTCCCGCATGTAATTGCTCGAGTTCAATTTTTCCTTGAAATAAATTAAAGTAACTGATCAAGTAACTCATGCTTGAAAATATTAAGGGTAAATTACGTATATGCCATGATTCCACAGTTTAACCAAATAAAAATAGGAAAAACAAATATTATTACTGAAATCAAATAAAAGCTTACAACCAGACAACTAAAATAGAAAATAACAACAAACACAACACACAAACCCAAACTGGGGTTCAATCCATGAGCGGTGGTAGTCGATTAAGGGGAATGGATGGTGCTGTGAGACAGACACATTTAGAATTTCTTACATATTGTGTAAGGATATCTACACCGAATGCACGAATGCAAGCTAATTTCTTCTTACGATACATGTGATATTATTTTGTTATGATACAGATGAATATACATATGAAATTAATTGCTTGAATGTATTCATGTTGTTATCCCTATGATATATGTAATGCCTCATTGTAGGAATTATATTTTATGAAATGCATGATGAATGTTTGCTACAAATATCATGACTTAAGAAATGTCACAAGGAATGATATGAGTAAACTATTATATGAATACTTGCAAGTACGCTATGTAGGGATCTGACATTCCTGACTCCTGGTGTCAGGCGACGACGAAATTCTGGAACAATTTTGATCAGACAGTGACAGAACATAGTGAATCGTTGGTATTAGGAGGAGCTACTGATAACTGCTCTGTTGGGGGGACAACATTTATCAATAGTTTATATGATCTTTGAGGCAGGGTGACGACCCATGATGACAGAACATGAAAATAATTCAGGCCTATACATTTACAAATGACATTACTATGAAATGACATTTATGAAACGATATTGCTATGTTTGCATACGATAAACAACTTATGAACATGCTTTGGTTTGTACTTATGTTTTTATGCTGACGATTATACATGTTTTACACAACAATCCTGATTTCTATACTACATACTTTATTTTTATATTCTATACGATTCTAGCATGTTGATTTGTGTGTAGACATGTACAGTTTCATATGAGTATACACGTTTCTTTTTCGTGTATAAAATTTTATTTTAGCCTTGATTATTTCTCAGAACTTGTTGTTGCTAACTTCACGTTGCTGCTATTCAGGTAGAGACAACGAGCACAGGGGCGATTAGACAGGTGTAATTTGTACAGCTTTTACACAATATAATTTTGGGAGCTTCTATATATGTTTAAGGTACATACCGTTATTATTTTGGATTTAATTGCTTTGTGTATTTTATATATTTTGAGATTATGATTTTTCACTTCTGAGCATGTACATTAATGAATTATGAAATATAATGTATCACATTTTTTTGTGACAATTTAGTGAAACAAATTCATCATCCACTGAGTCCTGATTTTAAAAATCTAAATGAGTGTTGGTGAGAATTTAGTCTGACATAATTGTCCGTCTGTCGCATCTCAGCCGACCCTTAAAGGGAAGGCCAATTGGGGTATGACAGGAGAGGAATACAATGATGGTGGTTGGAATGCAAAAAAAGCAACCGAGAACAGCAACTCTGGGCAACTGTAGCAAAAGCGAGAGGTGCGACAGCAAAGCGGAAGCGAGGCAGAGGAGATTGGAAAGGATAAACACCACTTCGAAAGCAAGATACAACCGTAACACCACTCAATCCTTTGATACAACCCTTGAATGGGGAAAGAGAGATGTTGTCGGCTCTGTCGAACACACATACACCAAAAACTGCCCTAAAATATGACAAGAGCAACATATATAGACCTAAGGTAACGAGGAGTAGCCCTAATAGGGTTGGCGACACTCCCACGAAAGAAAGAGGACTGGTCGGCCCTCAATCTATCTGGACTGAATCGATCGGAATCACACCTGCCGATATTCTGCATCCTTGTCCCTATTCGGGATGCTCCCACATCATGCCACCCAATCCTTGTATATTTACATGTCAACCACCTTAATTTTTTTTTTTATAGTTATACCCCCCAAATCTTTCATATCACATAAAAAATATCACATTTTTTACTTCTAAAAATGAAATACACCTTTTCATGCATAAGAAAGGTGGTATATAGCCAAAAATTGAAGCTAAGGTATTAGACATGTAAATACATAGGAAATGAGTTGTATGTATATAAATATTCCAATTAATAAATTATACGTGAATGACATGGGAATATGATAGATTTTGTAGGATGGAAAAAACAATAGCTCAAACTTCGCAGATAAATTTCTTGAAATTATGTCAAGAAACAAAGCATGAAGAGTCAAGTGTTTTATTGCTTAAGAAATGAAACATCTGGTGAAGCACAAACATGTATTTTATCAAGCAATGCAAAATCATTTTTTAATAAGGAAGATTTACTTACATACCACTAAATTTATATCAAGCTACATATCTAACACCGTGACGTTCGACTCAACTGGTTCAACAAAGGTGTCGGTCCAACAAGGGGCTGAACCAGCCGACCGATTCAAGAAACAATGCATGAAGAGTCAAGCGTTTTATTGTTTAAGAAATGAAACATCTGGTGAAGCACAAACGTGTATTTTATCAAGCAATGCAAAATCATTTTTAATAAGGAAGATTTACCTATATACTACTAAATTTAGATCAAGTTACATATCTAACACCATGTCGTTCGGCTCAACCGGTTCAAAAAAGGCGTTGGTCCAACAAGGGGCTGGACCGGCCGGCAGATTCAATGGACGTGAACTACCGTCTCCACCACCCCCCAACCCCCTCTCTCCAATTCTATCTAGCATTATATATACGCTGCTTGTGTGTCTTAGAGTTCAGTTTTTTGTTGATTTCTGATTTCTACCTCTAGGAGTCTCCCTTGTTAGGGTTGTATTCGAAGACGGTGCTCCGACTGTATCCTGCCTCGAGGTGGTAATTAATGCCATAATTTCTCATCGTATTCCTTCTCCCTAGCTCACTGACCTTCAGTGACAACCCTCCAACACCCTTCTAGTCGCCCGAACCTTGCCGCAAACTCCTCTAGCACCCTTCCAGACTTTACCATAATCCCTCCCAGATCTTCCAACCTTGCCGCAAACTCCTCTACATCTTCCAACTGCTACAACAACCCTTCCCAACCCCTCCAACAAGCAGCAGCAGCACCTCCACCATACCCATCTGCTGCCGATACACCTCTAACTCCCTCCACTGTAGCCATATTTCCTAACCGATTATCCCACATGTCTAGCCAATGTCCACCACTATCACGCTCACATTAGAGGGACGTTTGTGTTTTTTATTATTGTTTTGTTCCTGTTTCAAGGACATATGTTGTGATTTCTTTCAATTTTCAACAATAATATTCACATTATGTTGTTTTTTGAATTGAATCCATTATTATTTGGTATCAGAGATAGTCTAACCCTAGTCCTCCCATAAGGTTACCTAGAATCCACCTTAACCCCCACCAAAATTCTCAACCATCCCTTCCAAACCCAAACACTAAACCCTAAACAAGCCACCAGGGAGATACATGCCAGAATCTACCCAGGATAAGATATAACGAAAGATTTATCGACTTCAAAGAAGGCTAGTAAAGATCGATGAGCGAACCAATTGGGATATTTCCTTTGACAACAATCTGGAAAGTCAAAGAAGAGATATGAACGAGGATCTGAATCCGTTCCACAAGGAAGACTTTAGCAATAAGTAATACAGGCCCCGCCATTACAGAATTCAATATCAGGGGGGACGAGAGAAGAGTCCATATATAGATGATGCATGGATTTCGACATCAAGGTGTATTTGCCAAGGTCGATGGAGGTATGGATCCAAATGAATTTATCAAATGAATGCAATTTGTTGAGCGAATCTTTGAATATAAGGAAGTGCTAGAACATAAGCGTGTAAAATTAACAGTCATCAAGTTGAAGAAAAGCGACTCCTTGTGGTGAAAAAACTTGTAGATACAGATGAAGAGAGAATACAATGATAAGATTACCGAGTGAAAAATTAAGAGGAAAGAGATACAAAAGAAATACCTTCCTCATCATTATTGTCAGAACATGTTTCTGAGACTCCACCATCTGCAGCAGAGAGACTTATCAGCGAAGGAGTTCACGACACAGTTCGACCGGTTGCAGATGAAGTGTGAGTTGGTCGAGGCAGAGAAACACACCCAAGCTTGTTACTTGAGAAGCCTGAAGTTCTCTATTAGCAATGTTGTGCAGTTACAACCATATTGGTCACTTTGGAATGTCCAAACCTTAGCCTTGAAAGTGGAAAATATAGAAAAAACAAAGCAAACAACAATCTTCATTCAGACTGCAGTCCTCAGTCAGAAAGCCCCCAACTGTCCCGCAAGCTAAGTTGTTTCATTCACAAATCAACACGTCGTCGAGGAAGTGGAGAATGAGGAATCAGATGATGGTCCAGAGGAAAAACTTCTGCTCCAAGGTAAGGAGGGAGAGAGATGTTAGTCATACAGAGAGGCTTGCAGTCAGAGTCGGAAGAGATCAGCCATGGCTGAGGCACAATAATTTTCGCACCAAGTGTATGGTGAAGAGCAAAGTATCCAGTCTGATTATCGACGACAATAGTTGGGCAGATGTGGCGTCCATGTTGATGGTGAAGAAATTAGGATTAGCCACACAAAAACATCATCAGTCCTATTCTCTTACCAGGTTGAAGAATAGAAATGAGACACGCGTAGATCAACAATGATTAGTTGAATTTTCATAAAATAATAAATTACAGGAGCAAACGTGGTTCAATGTAGTTCCGATGGACGCGTGCATACTTTGTTTGTAAGACCTTGAACATTCGACTGTAAGATTCAACACAAAAGCTAAAAGGATAAGAAACACATCATGTTGTTATCTATTAAT